GTATGTATATATATATAGTTGTGCCTTGCATAATAAGACAAAATTCTCCACAAAAATTTTCTCATGGTATAAGAGCGTGGATTACTGTTCGCTGCACGACCGACGGTTATCGGCTGCAGATCTTGTTCCGGCCACAGCCTATTTCCTTTTTGTACTAACTTCCTACTCCTCCATCTTCACTCGGCTCTGGCCCACGCCGGTATCGGCATCGTTATCCTCCGCAAACCGCTTCACCGGAAATAGATCCAGCGGAGACGATGGCTTTTCCGCTAGGAAGCTAGCGTTTTCTTGCTGGCTATTCGCATACTTGGTCATCAAAGCAAGGATAATGTTGCAAAGGTTCTTCATCTGTGTTAATTCGTGCATCAGATGCATATTCTCTTTCCTAAGTCGTTCGTTCTCATCAAGAAGCTCTGTTGTGCTGCTGCAACTTGTCATTCTACACATCGTAGCGGCAACGGCCGATGGGGATGAAGTCGAGGATACCACTTGGTCATCACCGGAATTCGTCGAAGACCCTGTCCAAACGGCCGGAGCTGTAGCTATCGTAACAGTAGATACAGCTACAGCCAGTGATATTTTCCGGCGATGAATGTCGTAGAGAAGTTTTTTTTTCTCCTCTACGAAAGCAGTCGTTTGCGAATTCCCATCGATCAGGAACAATCTTTCGGAAGCCATATGTGTTAAGTTGTCGAACGAAGCTTGAAAAATTGTTGTGCTTGAAATATTTGGGAAGCAGATCTCTGGCGAACTCGGCCGGTCCTGAACGTGGAACCGTCCTCGTTCCACGAAATCACGTCATCTATCGAAGGATCATCCACAAGCTATCGCTCGAACTCCCGCTGCCATCGATCGCCCATCTATGTGTTTCTTGCAATAATCAAGCAGCTCAAACAAATCTTGTTGGCCGGTTACCATGGTTGCCAACAACGAAAGGAACGGTGAGAGCTCAAGTAAGTCTAAATGGTGAGGAGACAGACCCCGCGGTATGTCGACCGGGCGTGGAGCAAGTCGAGGAAAAGGGGGTGGACCCTCTGGCGGACGTGACCGAGGTTCAGCAAAAACTTATGCTGCTCAATCATCGACAGGGCATGAGGTGGCTGCTAATGCAGCCGTAACTGACGGAGACAGGACCGGACTAAACAGACTTAATGACGAACAGTGGTAGACTCTCGTAAGCATGCTTGATGCTTACAAAACCAGGACTAATGAAAAACTCTCTGGTAAGAAAAATTCTACTGATTGAATAATTGATTCCGGGGCGTCGCACCATATGACTGGAGAAATTGACTTATTAATGGATGCACGGAATATTACACCGTGTCCGGTGGGACTTCCCAATGGGAAGCAAACCACTGCAGTGAAGGAAGGGACTTTACATTTGGGTGGAAATATTTATCTACATCATGTGCTTTTTGTACCAAGAATGAACTGCACCCTTATGACTGGAGAAATTGACTTATTGATGGATGCACGGAATATTACACCGTGTCCGGTGGGACTTTCCAATGGGAAGAAAACCACTGCAGTGAAGGAAGGGACTTTACATTTGGGTGGAAATATTTATCTACATCATGTGCTTTTTGTACCAAGAATGAACTGCACCCTTATTTCCGTAGCAAAATTATTGCAAGAGCTAAATTGTAGTGTCACTTTTACTAACAAGCTATGTGTGATACAGGACCAAACCTCGAGGATTCTGATCAGAGTGGGTGAACAGTGTGATGGGGTCTATCATTTTAGAGGAGCAGCACCGGTTCGGGCGAATAGAACAAAAGGTATGGATGAATGGGAGTTATGGCATCGCAGATTAGGGCATCCGTCTAAACAGATATTATCTTTTCTTCCTAAAGTAGATAAATTAAATAGTAGAACTGAAGGAGATAAGCCATGTGATGTTTGTCATGGAGCAAAACAAACACGGGAAATTTTTCCTAAAAGTAAACATAAAGCTGATGATTGTTTTTCTCTAAATCATTGTGATACATGGGGCACCTATAAAGTACCTGCCTCTTGTGGTGTAGTTTACTTTCTAACCATTGTTGATGATTATTCTCGTGTTGTGTGGGTTTACTTGTTACTGGAAAAAAAATGAAGTAGCACATATTATTGAGAAATTTTGTGCCATGGCAGAACGTCAGTTTGGAAAGCAAGTCAGGACTGTTCAAAGTGATATTAGAACAGAATTTAAAAGCTTGAAATCATACTTTGAGACTCATGGAATTCTGCATCAAACTTCGTGTGTTGGGACACCGCAACAAAACGGTCGGGTGGAGAGAAAACACAGGCATATCTTGAATGTTGCGAGAGCATTGAGATTTCAAGCAGGCTTGCCCATTGGTTTTTGGGGGGAGTGTGCCTTAACCGTCGGATACTTGATAAACAGGACACCTTCTTCTGTACTTGGCGGGAACACTCCGTATGAGGTACTGTTTGGGACACCACCTCAATACGAGCACATGAGAGTATTTGGCTGTCTCTGCTATGCTCATTGGAGTCCTCAAGACAATGATAAGTTTGGAGAAAGTAGGAAGTGTGTTTTTGTGGGTTATCCCTACGGAAAGAAAGGTTAGCACATATATGGTGTTGAAAGAGGTGAATATTTTGTCTCACGTGATGTAGTCTTCCATGAAAATATATTTCTATATGTCACTGGTTCAGAAGCCACTCTGGGAAACAAACTTGGCCCAGCCATTGCACCAGTTGATGCCGCAGTTGATGATGATGTTGTACACAGCCACAGAAGGAATAAAGACAGGGGGAGTGATGCAGCCGACATCTGTGATAGGGGGAGCCTTGAGAATAATGATGATGGAAGAGAGGAGGAGCACGGAAAAGAAGAGAGTGTGTAGGAAGTGAGAATTAATGGCAGTGATGACAGAATTAATGTGGATCCAGCACCACAAACGGCACCAGAAGAGCAACTTGGTAGGGGACATCGGCATCGCACGCCGTCTGTTTTGTTGAAACCCTACGTGACCTACACTGCTCGATGTTTGAAAGACCCCATTCACACTCAAGCCAACTCTGAATCATAGTCCTCATGTACAACTCCCTATCCCATAGCGAATTATGTGACATGTACTAACTTCTCTGCTAGACATCAAGCTTTCTTAGCTGTAGTCACTGTAGGAGCCGAGCCCACCAGCTTTTTTGAGGCAATGAAAAGTGAGAAATGGAGGGAAGCTATGAGGAAGGAAATCCAGGCTCTGGAGGATAATGGTACTTGGACATTGGAAACTCTACCTCCTAGGAAAAAGGCAATAGGGAGTAAATGGGTTTATAAGATCAAATATAATTCAGATGGGACGGTTGAACTATATAAGGCTCGGCTAGTTATTCTCGGGAATAGACAGGTTGAGGGGTTAGATTATAATGAGACTTTCGCTCCTATGGACAAAATGACGACAATCCGCACTTTCTTAGCCGTGGCAGCCGCTAAGAATTGGGAGTTGCATCAGATGGATGTACATAATGCATTCTTACATGGGGATTTGGATGAGGAGGTATGCATGCAGTTGCCGCCAGGTTTCGCATCTAAGGATCGAACAAAAGTGTGCAAACTGAAGAAATCTCTCTATGGATTACGTCAGGCTCYCAGATGCTGGTTCTCAAAATTAACAGCGACCTTGATACAATTCGGGTTTGTTCAATCATATCCTGACTACTCTTTGTTCACTTATTTCAAACACAATGTTCGTCTGCACGTGCTGATATATGTTGATGATTTGATTGTTGGGGGAAATGATACTGTAGCCATTATGAAATTCAAAGAGTATCTCAGTCAATGCTTCCATATGAAAGATCTGAGTCCACTCAAATATTTCCTAGGTATTGAAGTAGCTCGTGGTCCTGAGGGAATATATTTATCTCAACAGAAGTATGCCTTGGACATTATCTCGAAATGTGGACTATTGGGAGCCAAACCAGTGTCAGTGCCCATTGAACAGGATCATCATCTTGCACTGGCCAAGGGCGCTCTAATGGGCAATCCGAATCAGTATCGAAGACTAGTAGGACGGTTGATATACTTAACGATCACACGACCTGAGCTGTGCTATTGTGTTCATATTCTGGCCCAGTTCATGCAAAGCCTGTGGCAAGAACATTGGGAGGCAACTCTGCGTGTAGTGCGATATATGAAAGGGTATCCTGGACAAGGTATAGTATTGTGTTCCGATAGCGATTTGTGTTTGTATGCTTATTGTGACTCTGATTGGGCAAGCTGCCTATTGTCATGACGATCGTTGATAGGCTATTTCGTTCTGTTGGGGCAATCACCAATTTCTTGGAAAATGAAAAAGCAGCACACTGTGTCGCGCTCCTCGGTAGAAACAAAATATCGTTCGATGGCCGCGACATGCTGTGAATTGAAGTGGATGAAGAAACTTCTATTGTCCTTGGGAGTGGCGCATGACGAACCTGCGCGCTTATATTGTGATAACCAGGCAGCCCTGCATATAGCCGTGAATCCAGTGTTTCACGAAAGGACAAAGCATATTGAAGTCGACTGTCATTTTGTTCGCAATGAGCTGCGGCATGGCAACATTGTTACTCGGCATGTTCGAACCACAGAGCAATTGGCTGACATCTTGATGAAGACTCTTGGGAAAGAGAAATTCACCTATTTTCTTGACAAATTGGGCATTCAGAATCTTCATGTGCCAATTTGAGGGGGAGTATTGGAATTCGTTATGGACTAGGAAATTTGCATGCATTGGGAACTCCTCTCATGCATGCATGTATCTTATCCTCTTCCTCTCAGCATGTATCTTGGATGTTTCTTATCCTCCCATGCATGTATCTTGCATGGATAAGCATGTATCTAGGCACAAATTCTGGTAGTTCTCTAGGCGTCTTTAGCTAGTTATGATTAGTAGGTTAGGTTACTACTACAAGTGCTACCACTAAATTTTAGGCGTAGATTGTATGTATATATATATATGATTGTGCCTTGCATAATAAGACAGAATTCTCCACAAAAGTTTTGTCAGAAACTGAACGAGCCTGCATCCTCTACCCCATCGATGAAGTGTCTAAACTCAGAACATATCCATGCACTTCCAGTGTATGCTGCGTCGATGTGAACCCAAACTCCTTACTCGTTGCAACGGCACGGAAGTTGTTTGGAAAGATCCCTACAATGTGGGCAGCTTTCTGGAGTGCACAGTGGGTCTGATCTGATCCATAAACCACCAACTTCCCTATGTTCTCCCTACCAATTCTGTTCAACATCCGATCTCTGGCTACCGTGAGCGTGCATAGGATGGCTTCACAGGTAGTCCCTTGTAGCACACCACCACTATTTCTAGAGAAGAGGAAAGACTTGGGGAGCTTAAGCATCTTGCCAAGCCAATCCATGACTATGCTCTCCAGGTCTGTGACCGCCGGCGACGACATCCAGTTGAACCCAACGACATTAAATCCAGTGCTAAGCATTTCTCCGAGAAAACCAACGACGCTACCGCTGGAAGGGAAGTAAGCGTAGTAGTTAAGGGGCACCGAGAAAACCAGCGATGCTTACTTCCCTCCATTACAGAATACTTACCTTCTCACTGTTTGTATGGCCATCGTAGTCGGTCGGCGGAACTCGAAAGAATTTATCTCCGGTGGGTGGGTTACGAAAGGGGGCGCCAAGGGTTTTCGTTCACAGTAGAATAGGAGAACAGAATGGGAGAAGAAACCCTTTTAGGCGAGAAGTAATTAATGGACATGATACAAACGGTGTGAAATAGAGACCGCACGAGTCATCCTAGTGCGCGTGTATCATGACACGCGTCGCGCCTAAGCTTCGTGGGACATTTTTGGGGGGTAAGTCTGTGGGGGGGGGGCCGATGCGAACCCAAATGGTTAAGGATCATCACTCATCAGATCACCCGAAAACTCCGTTTTGCTAGAATATCCACTAAATATGAACAACTGGTAGGTTACATTGGAACACAGACTACAACTGCATGTGGATTCTCAACTCTCGAGTCTGGCCCCAGGAGTCTAAGTGAGAATCCATCAGAAGAAAACATACCGATTAGGTAGGCGATTCATCAAAAGTGAGATCACATTTCCTGCCACCACCGTTGCAAGACAATCCCAAGACCACGCATTGTACAAATCATTGTTTTTAAAAATCGATTCAAAGGCCACGTCGCAAGTCACCAGTCATCGTCTAGATCAGACCATGCCACATCAGTCATATGAAAATTCAAACATATATAGATAATTGCATTTTGAGACAAAAAAGAGCAGTTTTTTGAAAAAAAAAAAAAAACAGAACAAAGACGCACCGAGACACATGAATCTTGAAAAGTTACACAAAATTGAAAAAAAAAAAATCATCTCAATCAAACATTAAACCACAACCCGATCACCGGGTCGACTGGATCAACAGGCCAACCATCGGACTGTTTTTGACCTTAACCATGACAATTTGAGCGGTTCAACCAGAAGTGAACAGCGGGTTGAAAACACTGGTACCAATCAAGGTCAGGTACATTCATTATGTAAATTCTAACATGACGACGTAAAAGCCATCTCATCACTTCAGACGTTGAATCAAAAGTTCAAAATGCTGCATCAACCACATCCACGAGAGAGACAGGAATGTTTTTCTCTATCTGATTTCCCTATCTACATTTTCTTGCGAAAACGTCCATTACCTGCTTGTACATGTACTTCTTAACATCCCCTCCAATTTCCAGGAGGACGTGTCTTAATTTTCAGTTTTCAGATTGATTATCCAATATTAAGTATCAGACTCAGCTATTGTGACTCGGCAGTCATGCTCTGGTGGGATTTTATTTTCAAATTAAATGTGTATGGGCGAGTGATCCTTGCTTGACACTAAAATCAGACTGCTTAATTTTTATGCTTTAGAGAGAGTGAAAGCATTAGACTAGCCAAGGATCATTCAACATCTGAAGTTGAATTAGTCCTCACAGAATCTACGTCAGGCCCAAAAAAAACTCCGCAAAGAACCTAACTGGAAAAGACACAATTGTCATTATATGGTAAAATGAAATACAATCTAACTAATTATAGGATGAAAATCCAGTTCTATATCTTTACACATTTAATATACAGTCCAGGCCACGGAGATAAAAAGAGTTTTACTACTCATCGTAAGTGACATGGAGATCAGTTCTGCAGCCTAATGCATTAGGGTCCTCGGCCCCACAGCAATCATAGAACTTGGCAGCATAAGGAGGATCATCTGGCCCCAACTCATAGTACCTTAAGCAAATAGAATGCAGAGAAAAATAAAACAAAAAGACTGGTAAGAAGGCAAAGTCTTTCGAAAGGAAACTACTTAATCAAAGCATTATTAAGTTTGTTGTTGCAATACAAGGCATAGTAAGATTTCACTAGGACAGCATTTTTGAGGATCCGGAGAGTTTCAATGTCTGAGTGAGAGCTTAGAATGTCAAATCTGTTGTGCATCAAATCAGACCAACTTGCAGCAGATTGAAGGAATAAGTTGTTGCATGTTCTCTGCAACACGTGGCCTACATGTTGCAAAAACCTACAGTACTGACCATAAACAGTAGCCATACTTTTAAATGTTCAATTTCTGTATTAGTGCTTAAAACAAGTAAAAGAAAGAAAACAAAACCAACCCTTCTTTTCAGGAGAAATTTTGAGATGATGACGAATACTAGGGAAGATAAACATAAAAAGAGATTCAACAATAACCTCAAAAACGATGCACACTATTGATTCTATTCCTTGTTTACAAAAGGAGGGAAATGATATTTATGATACCCAATACCTGTAATGGAGTGTCGTATCCTGTTGAATATTTCAATTTTTAGTGTAAATTTTGTATCCAAAACTGTATCCAGCCATGACTTTGCCGAAGGGAAAGATAAAGAAAAACAAATTAATCCATTTCCTTGAGAATCTAAGGTTGTGGTGGCAACATGACTCCAAAACAACATGCACAGCTCAGTGAAGCAAAATATGATTTGCATGCTCCCCCCCAATATATAAAATATGGCAGTTGACTAAAAATTTCTTTACTTATAACTAGCTCATAACCAGGAAGTATTTCCCGAAACTTGCAGTCCATAAGCAAGAAGACTATCACAGAATGCATCCTCTAAAAAGGGGTCTAGAGCATGGGAGCAGTTCTGAACCAACTGTTGTTACAAAGGAGCTTTTAGTGAATACTCATTTGTAGTTCCATCTACTGACTCTTTTCTTCTTCCCTAAACCTAGCTTTGGCTAGTCTGGGTAGTAAAACAGCTGCAATATCCACAACCCATTCATTCATTGTTCCTCTTGAATCTTGGCACCCAAATCATATCTTATTTAGTCTTGTAAAGAAGCAACCATCAGCACCTAGCTAGCTGTGCATAGCCAATGCATAATTCTGTAAAGTCAATGGTAACAATCACCCCATACCCTGTCACTTTTTCCTACCTCACACTGCATGTCTTATATTATATTTTCAAAATCTTGGAAACACCTCTTCAAGAACTTAACCATAACTATTTGAAGACATTGAAATACTCTTACACAAAATTTCTGCATACCATATTTCTACACTACAACTTTCCCTCGTAACTTGCTAAACATCCAAAGCCACTTGACAAGGAGGGTTATGTTCCTTCCACCATTCGAAGCCCCATCCTTCATGTACCCCCCCC